ATATATATGAGTAGATCTATATTCTTTTTTAGCACATAGAGCATGGATTGTGTTTTCCATGGACATGTGCTATAAAATGCTATCTTTCTTCTTCTTTTTTCTCTCATTTTCTGTGCCCATTGCCAATGGGAAGTGAGGCTGTTTTACCACACCTTGAACGAGAAAGGAGACTAGAACTAGAGTCTAGATCTAGTTATCATAAATCCAATTAAGATAATATTTGTAGTTGTATAATAAGCACAGGCTTATTTGATTTTCCTTTCGGTGATCTGATTACACTGCCGTCTTATTGTCTCGCGTAGGCAACGTCACCTCGTTTTAAACTAGCCTCCACATTTTCAGACGACAGTCCCACTGAAGAGGCCTGATACTGATAATTTCAGTAAGCCGTGGGCGGACCCCAAAAGCATATACAAATACATACATGTAATAATACGCGACATGTATTGTGCCACCCACCGATTGGCTAGCAGTGGCAGGCAGCTGGAGATGTCCTCAATACTGCGCAGTTTCTGTGTGCAGTCTCTGTAGTTTGTCAGAGATCTGTGGACGGTATGGAAGAACTATTATCCATTATATTTGACAACTTGGAAACATATGTCTCTTTTCCCATACAACAATACAACTACGGCAGATACAGAGTTGAAAGTTGGTAAGTACCTGCAAAAAGATAGATAGGTCCCCATGATGGAGCCGGATTTTTAATTTATTCATTTTCTGAATTTAGACAAATTATATATATTACATTGTATTTAACAAAAAGTTCCCTTCTTTATTTGTCCTATGTGATTATTCCACTGAGAAACAAATCTGCGTAGCTGTCCTTCACAACGGAAGTGCCGGAAGATATATTTCGTGAGGCGCATTTTGTTTTGAGAGTGTATCTAGACCTTCTAATTTTTTGTGCATCTCTCAAGATTTATTGCTCCATTCCAGTAGAGTGTTAATATATTTGGCCAATGACTTTCAGTTGATGTTAATGCACCGATCATTCCTTTCATCGAAAGGGGGCCAAGCTAGTATTATTAAGTTGTAATTGCTTTTCTTTGTTTTCACAACTATTTATTCACTTTTAAATTCAGTTCTTTTCTTATTGATTTACTTGAGTGCGTACAGAACACGGAACCATGGAATAAGTGAACGACTTGATGAATAAATAATTGAATAAATGGACGATAAACTATAATATCATTAACATTTATAGCCTATACATGTTATAGAATAAATAGGATAAATACATGTTGAAAAATTATGAAGTAATTGGTGAGGGCATGACTGACTCATTAAAATTTGTGATTTGTGAATAATAAACAAACAGGAAAATTATTAAAAGTAATTATTTTTTATGAATGCGTGATTTTATGAAGGAATTGTAACATAACCAATAAGCTAAAGATTGAATTAAATCATGTATATTACTTGAATAAAAAACAATGTACATGAATGGGCGATTGTATAAATGAATAAATAAATACACACATTAATTAGTGATAGATTCTAGACTGAATAAATGAATCGCTGAATGAACAGATAAATGGGTCAAAGTTAATGAACGATGGAGGAAATTTATGTATCCTACTTTGAGAACTAGGTTGTCTGACATGGTGCATCTAATTTAATTAATAAATGGATTAGTGGAAAACCGAATAAAGGAAATATTGAATGAACAGATGAACGAAAAAGTAATTAATGAATGATGATGATGATGACGATGTTGTAGTTGTTGTTGTTGTTGATGATAATGATGATAATGATGACGATGATGATGATGATGATGATTTTTTTGGTTTCCTTAATGGGCCTGGCGGACTCCACGAAGAAATCTTCGAGCGTGAGCGAGGCTCTTTTTCGGCTCCGTTGTCAATATGCTTAGTGGCACATCAACTCGTCCAAATAACTCAATTCGACGATGATGATGATGATGATGATGATGATGAAGATGATGGTGATGACGATAATGATGCTGATGACGATAATGATGATGATGATGCTGCTGCTGCTGCTGATGATGATGTAACAAACTATTGAAGAAACAACCCGTCCTACTCTGAGTACTCGGCACCGAGCAGATACTTGAGGTCGTGTGTGGTGGGCTGACACTGTAGGAGTCTATGCAGGAAGTCCAGAACTTTGGGAGGGTAGGGGAAGAATGGGTGGAGGAACGAAAGACGGGACCTCGACAAAGGACGGACAAAGATGTGCATAAAAAAATGGAAAATGTATATTATCTGTCTGTCTGTCTGTCTGTCTGTCTGTCTGTCTGTCTGTCTGTCTGTCTCTCC